TGTCGGTGCCAGCCCGTCCCGTGTCTGTCCTGCTCTGTCCCGGGTCAGTCCCGGGTCAGTCCCGCCCTGTCCATGCTCTGTCCCGTGTCTATCCCAGGTTAATCCTCAGTCAGTCCCGTGTCTATCCCGTGTCCCTCCCGTGTCTCTCCCGGCCCAGCCCCGTGTCTCTCCCGGCTCAGTCCCATGTCTCTCCCGTGTCTCTCCCGTGTCTCTCCCGGTTCAATCCCGTGTCTCTCCCGGTTCAATCCCGTGTCTCTCCCGGTTCAGTCCCGTGTCTCTCCCGTGTCTCTCCCGGCTCAGTCCCGTGTCTCTCCCGTGTCTCTCCCGGCTCAGTCCCGTGTCTCTCCTGGCTCAGTCCCGTGTCTCTCCCGTGTCTCTCCCGGTTCAGTCCCGTGTCTCTCCCGTGTCTCTCCCGGTTCAGTCCCGTGTCTGTCCCAGTTCAATCCCGTGTCTCTCCCGGTTCAGTCCCGTGTCTCTCCCGGTTCAATCCCGTGTCTCTCCCGGTTCAGTCCCGTGTCTGTCCCAGTTCAATCCCGTGTCTCTCCCGGTTCAGTCCCGTGTCTCTCCCGTGTCTGTCCCGTGTCTCTCCCGGCCCCGGCCCGGCGCTGACCTGCAGGCCGCGGCGGAAGCCCCGGCAGAATTGGCGCAGGTAGCGCCGCACGCCGGGGCTCAGGTAGGCGTCGGCGCACGCGGTGAGGCCGCGCGGCACGGCGCGCGCCATGCCGGCCACCGCCGACGACAGCGACACCTGCGCGAAGCCCAGCGCCCGCGCCAGCGCGCCCGCCTGCTGCTCGTGCCCGGGCCACCTGCGGGACAGGGGTGTCACACCTGTGTCACACCTGTGTGTCACCTGTGTGTCACCTGTGTGTCACCTGTGCCACACCTGTGTCACACCTGTGTCACACCCGTACCCCCAATCCCGCCTGCTGCTCGTGCCCGGGCCACCTGCGGGACACCCGTGTCACCTGTGTGTCACCTGTGTCACACCTGTGTGTCACCTGTGCCACACCTGTGCCACACCTGTGTCACCTGTGCCACACCTGTGTCACACCCGTACCCCCAATCCTGCCTGCTGCTCGTGCCCGGGCCACCTGCGGGACAGCCGTGTCACCTGTGTCACCTGTGTCACCTGTGTGTCACCTGTGTCACACCTGTGCCACACCCGTACCCCCAATCCCGCCTGCTGCTCGTGCCCGGGCCACCTGCGGGACA